TTTTTGGGAAAAAAAATAAGTTTTAATTAAACAAAATAATAGTAAGACTTTAATTTTTTTATAATTGAAACTGATATATACAATTCTTTATAAATTATTATATTTAAGGAACATATATCATCAATCTCTTTTTTTTTTTAACTAATTTACCTTTTTATTATGTTTTAACTATGAATTACTTATTTCATTCAACCAAACAAGCCTAAAAAGTAATCCTTAATTTTTCTTTTTAATTATATTAAAAAATTAGTTATTTGATATTATAGAAATTTAGACATTTTACTACTCCCTTCGTTCCACTTCATTTGTCATTTTAAACTCTTGCATGGGTATTAAGAAAATAATTAATTATCCTCAATTTTAATGTTAAATAAAATAAAAATACCATTTTATCCTTTTCCTCACCCTTTTCTTCTAACATGATACTCCATCCGCCGTTCCACTTTCTATTTCACATTCTCTTTTCATTTGTGGGTTCGTTGGTTGGAAAACTTATCCCCAATTAAAACCTTCAATTCAATTCAATTCAATTTCACTTTATTTTCATTCCAATACCGCCAAAATTACCAAACTAGGTACGAAGCTTAGTTCTACCCTTCTTTGATAGAGTTACATGTTTTTTTGTTTTTTGCTTTTGGTTAAACCCTCAATTTAGTCCTTGAACAATTATATAAACTCTCGATTTTATTCTTGAACTAAAAGAATATCTAATTTGGTTCCTAAACTATTGTACGAACCCACAATTTGATCCTTACTATTTACCAATTTACCCCAAATTGATTTTACCGTACCAAAAAACAACTGTTCTGTCTGTTACTTAACAACAAAAAATAGTAACTTAACAATGTAAAACAGTAATTTAATGGTCACATGTCACATTAATAACAAGACATGTCAGTTAGTTTTTGTATGAAATGACTAACTTGAGGTAAATTGGTAAACAGTAAGGATCAAATCAGAGATCCATACAATAATTTAGAGACCCAATTAGGGATTTTTTAATTCATAAACCAAATTGAAAATTTGTACAATAGTTCAGAGACCAAATTGTAGATTTAACCTTTGCTTTTCTACCTCCAGCAAACTACCCAAATGGCTGAACCAAAAACCCAGAGGCTAGAACCCATTATAATGAAAAATTCTCTACCTCTATCCTTTGTTACCAATTTTCTAATCTATCCCCTACCTTTGTATTGCAAGAGAAATGGCTTAAAATTAGTACACTAATAAATTTTTACTTTTGCAATTTTTCCTATACAAAAACTTGTGGTATTACATGTTTGTTTATATCAAATCCAAGGTCTGCTGGTATTGCTCGCTGGTTTAGCCATTTTGAAAAGTTTTCCAAACTTTGTAAGCCCAAAAAGTACAGTATACCAAACAGAGGAGGGCAAAGAGTTTTTTTTTTTTTTTTTAAATGACATAATTCGAAGACATTAAACTTTTATCGGAAGGTAAAAGTGAAAAAATAAATTGAAGAAATCTTGATTTACATAAAACAATAAATAAATTGAAATAAAAATGTATCCCTTAAACATCTAATATAATGAAACAGAGGGAGTATAACACTAAATTAAAGTTTGTGAATTAATCATTAATAATTCCATTAAATTATTGTTGATTAGTAACGAAACTTAGTAATTAATGACACTGTTGATAAATGTTTAATTTTTAATGAACCTAATAAATAAATAATTTCTCATAAAATCTCCATGTTCAATATAAATAAATTGTTTTTGATTTGCTTATAGACATATATTTTTTTTAAACATTTTTATCACAGAATCGGCTTGAACCGTTATCCTGAAAAAAAAAAATATGAACTTTACAAACATAATTAGAGTCACTTGACCTGAAAGATCAAGTTCGCTCTCGTAAACATATTAATCTTGAAATACATATTAATTGATATTGGGGCATAAAAAAGGCTAATCATTGAGGTTAAAATTGTAATCACAATGAAAAGGAGGGGACAAATTAAAATTTAAAAGGAGACAATCAAACATGTTACTGGTATATGATTGACGTACCTGACGCACCACTAGTCACCAGAGTCCAGCCTGGTAGCCATCACCGGTTCAGCACTAAATCTTTATGAATTTTCCTATCCCAGTTGTCATTGTCTTGTTCCATCGTCTGTTTGGAGTGAGGGGAATAGCCGAGAAAAAGAGGGGAGGAGATTTTTAGATTAATTAAATTATAATATTTAATTAATTATTATAAAAATATAATTAATATATGCTCTTAATATTATTAATTATTTAAATAATTTAATAATAATTTTTTATTAAAAGTAAAAGATCTTTAAATTCAAGACACATAATATATTGGGTTATGTAAAAAAAAAAAAGACTTATTTCTGATTGTACAATATAATATCAATATATATATTCTTTTAACAATAGTATATATTAAAAATAACAAAAATTGATATTAATTTTATGAAAAAAGGAAAAATTAGTATGGATTAATAACAACCACATAATAAATTTGATAAATTTAAAACTTGTATTATATTTTATATATTTAATAAGTGTGATTAGATGTTAACACCTTGATTTTTCATTTTTTCTACTTTTATTACTAATATTACATATTCTCCTATTTTAATTAGTCAATTAGTTAAATAAAAATCAACTCTAATATTTTAATTGAATTGTAAAAAATCAAAACAGTCCTAACCATTAAATACTAAGAAAGATGATGAAAAAACTTAAATATCCTTAATGAATTAATATGTAAAGAAAATTCAATAAGGTTATATTTGGGAACTTAAAATTGTATTTGAAGGATGTATTTAAAATACATATAATTTTAAATACATATATTTTTCAAATTTATTGTTTGAATTAATATAACAAGAAATGAATTTAATATTCAAGTTGTTGATTAAGACATTTTTACAAATACTTCCAAGATAGTCCATTTACAACGCACCTGGGCCTCACGGCCCAACGGTCATAGATCGAGTTGTAAAGTGCATTCCTTAACTCAAAAGCTGGGGTTTGATTCTCTCATCTCTCAAAATTGTAACCTTGTTTAAAAAAAAAAAAAAATAGTCCCTTTGCAACTTTAGTAACAAGTCCAAGCCAAATAAGCACTTTCATTTCATCCCATCCACTAACAAACAGGAACTGGAAATATCCCTAATTCCAAAAGCCAGCATCTTCCACCAATAGAATAAATATAAATCTTAAGAAAATTTTTGATCGGCTCGCTACTTTGTTCTTGACCCCAACACCCATTCCCATCTACCATATTTTTTCTCACCTACTTTTGACTAAGGTTGTTAAAATTTAGAGTTTAGGTAAAATTGTTTTGATAAGGTAAAATCGAAATCATAAAATCCATAGTTTACTAAATTAATTTAAAATTTATATATTACTAAAATTTAACATCAAATATTTAAATTTAAAATTTATCTAAGAATGATAATTACTAATTAATTATTTCAAATCTTTTTTGAACATTTTTCTATTTCATAGTTAATAAATTATTTTAAATTTTAATAATTTTGACCTCAAAATAAATTTCATAATAAAATATTGTTAGTTTAACTTATAAAAAATTAATAAAACCTTAAAATTTTACTTGAAAACCTAGAAATGCCAAATAACCCATAAATAAACAACAAACACAGCTCCACAAATACCTTACTAGTGATTATTAGTCAAATTATGACACAAAAATCCATAAAACCTTTTAAATTTATAAAATCTCGATTTTATCCGATTGTACAATTTTAGTACGATTTTATGATTTTACTATTCCAATTTTATGGAATCCCGATTTTACACAAATTGCATATGTAAAATTGCAAAATCGTACGATTTTACGATTTTACTCATGATTTTAACAACCATGCCTTTGACCCAATCAAGGGCACCCACCTCTTTGTCTCCCTCTCTAACCACTCCTCCTTCCTTATCATCTTCTCCACTTGCACCTCCACCTCCACCTCCACCTCCCACTCTTCCTCCACCCTTTAGTGCCTCTTTGTTGGAAATTGTCAACTAGACTCACCCTTTTGTCTACACCTAATGCCAATCCATCCACATGTGTTTAATCTTCCCTTACTAAGACACTCTAGCTACACGTGTCTGATACTCTGCTTTGCTCAATTTGCCTTAGGAGTTGTTTGTTGTGATAGTTGTTAATCATGTAAATCATTGCCTACTCGTTGCTGGAAAGGGGAATATAAGCTTGCTTAAGGGGAGATTCAGTTCATTGTTGGCAATGGAAGGAAGGGTAGGGGAAGAGAAATCATCCACTGTCGAGCTCTATCGGAATTAGTAGAGTTGAAATACATGAATCTAATTTTGAAATACATGGGGTTGGGAAAAGATTTAAAATACATAAATTTTAACATGATGAAATACATGAACTCAATTACATGTATTTGAATTAAATTTAATTATATACTTATTTTGTGAAAACAAACAATTAAAAGGGCCGTTGAAATTAAAAGGGCTAGGCCCTCTCAATTTCTGTCTGTCTTACCCATGGATCAACTGGCTAGGGCCCGCAGGATCAAAGGCGGTTGTTTGTGATGTGGTTTCTTTTTTCTTAGTGGTCTCCAGGAGGACCACAACATTTAACTCCGAAATTTTAAGAGTGCAGTCCAGAGTTGATTGGGCCATAGAAATTAAAGGGCCGAATCTCATGAAGTCTAAGGAGCGATTGCCCGGATTCAGTCTCAAGAGCACCACACTTCCTATTATTGTTATTGCTTTAGTTTTTTTAATATGCATATATAGGTTAAGAATATATATTTTTATCATAAATTTATATAAAAAAATAAAAAATATTATTAATTTTAGTATTTTTTTTTTTTGAACATTTTGACACGGGACGGGTTCGGAACCCGCCCAGGAGAGGGGGGGAATGCACCTAGCAAGCTTGCTAATGTCAGTGGACCTCTAGGCCCAGGTGCGCACCACACTTCCTATTATTGTTATTGCTTTAGTTTTTTTAATATGCATATATAGGTTAAGAATATATATTTTTATCATAAATTTATATA